TATTATAAACTTTACTGAGATAGATTCAAATGATTGATTCATCATAATGTTATAATAGTTAATACTTAAAATTGGGTACAGATTTAGATTACAGACAATCCTTCATAAATGCACACTCTGTAAATGCAAGAACTATGTATACCCTCTCTAAATGCACATATATTACTTAATAAAATGCCCTCCATAAACGCACACCCTTCCTAAATTCATATTTTCAAAAAATTTGCCTATAGTCACAAAGGGGTGCATTTATGGAGGGTTGACTGTAGTTATAGTATTTATTAAATTGAATGAATAATTTTTAATAATAAGTAAGCTGAAGTTTTCTAATGATAAATTATATTGGTTGCATTTTGAACCTTCAAAAATCTTCGAACTAATCAGTAAACCAGAAGTCAATTCGGATAGGGTGTGGTAAACAACTAAATTAACTAAGGATGCTCTGGTTTATAAATCGCATTAACAAAGACATGGAGCTTGTAACCATCATTTTTCTTAGAGTTACCTTAATTGAATAAATTTCCAGAAAAATTTCCATAAGTTAGAATAGTGATCTGGATGACTATATCAATTTTTTTTGCGTATTTGAGAAAACTTGTTATGCTCAAGATAAAAACTCAAGATAATATTGTAGATTTGTTTTATCTATAGATGCAGACATTTGAAGACATCCATTTGACGTGTCGTCATGTCAAAAGTGTCATAACGACGTAGGTCATAATATCTGACATTTGCCATAATTTAGTTTACGGCAGTATAAAAAGTTACGGCAATACAAAAATGTTACAACACTATAAAAAGTTATAATGTTATTATAGAAATTGTTATATTAAACGGGTTTTTTTTATTTAATTATTGATTGATCAAGAATTTATCACAATAACTTACATAAAATAACAACAATAATAACTATTTAGTATACTTTACACTTTATAGCGTAGAGTCAAGTATTTTATATTGAATAAATGACAAAAACTTCATGTCAACTGTTAAGACAACGTAAATAAAGTATCACGGGATAAGTAAAATACTATGTAAATCAGATATTACGCAAAAGTCAAATTTTGCGACACAAATCAATGTTACGGCATGCGTCAGTTATGGCCTTTTGACGCATCATAATATAATTGAGTTACGTCCAAATGTCTTTATCTATATTTTATATGGTAAAAGCAAAATTAAACATACACTCGTGAATTTCCGTATAATTTATTTTTTTTTAAAAAAAATTCTATTAATTACAAAATGGCCAAAATGGTTTCTAATTTAGGAATGAGACATGTCAAATAGAACTCAAAACATCATACAAATAGGATCATAAATAACTCTGTCCCCAGCCTTTCTTAATTCTTCTTTTAAACAATCTTTGTTACAGCAAAGTTCATAACAAGAATCATTTGCAACAAATCCTTTAAAGGCCAAATTAGTTCCACTGAGAATTAAAACCGATAGATTGATATTTTTGTCAAGAGAATCTAATAATGCCTTTCCTCCTTCGAAATTAAGACAATTATAACTAATATCTAAAAAAGTCAGAGTAGAATTCTTAAGAAGAGCTTTTGCAATTGCCTTTCCTCCTTTAACGCAGATTTCATTACTATTAAGATTAAGATGAGTTATAGTTTTATTTTTGCAAAGGGCTTTTGCTATTGCCTTTATTCCTTCAAAATTAGGATGATTATAACTGATGTCTAAAAATGTCAGGGTACTATTCTTACAAAGAGCATCAGCAATTGCCTTTCCTCCTTCAATGCCAATTCCGTTGCTACCAAGATTAAGATGTGTTATAGTGATATTCTTGCAGAGGACTTCTGCTATTACTTTTCCTCCATCAACTCCAATTCTATTACCACTAAGATCAAAGTGAATTAAAGTGTTATTTTTGTAAAGGGCTTTTGCAAATGCATTTACACTCTCAGGACCAAGTTGATTAAAACTGAGGTTTAAATGGGTTAAATTAATGTCTTTATAAAGAGCTTCTGCGATAAATTTTGCTTCTGTAAAACCAAGCTTATTACAACTAAGATTCAAAGAAGTTAAGACATTATTTACGCAAAGAGCTTCAGTCAATGTTTTTGCACCTTCATAACCAATTTGATTGCCACTAAGATCCAAGAAAGTCAAGGTATTATTTTTGTAAAGAGCTTTTGCTAATTCTTTTACTCCTTCAGAACCAAGTTGATTTTTAGAGAGATTTAAAGATGTTAAAGTGTAATTATTATAAAGAAATTTTGCTAATGCCATTCCACCTTCGGAACCAAGGTCATTTGAAGCAAGATTCAAAGATGTCAAAAAGCAATTGTTGGAAAGAATTTTTGCTATTATTTTTCCAATTTCAGAACCAAGATAATTTTTAGTAAGATTCAGTGAAGTCAGAATGCCGTTTCTACAAATCATTTCTATCACTTTTTTTGCATCTTCATTAAAAAGTGTATTATTTGTAATGACCAAAGAGGTTAAATTCTTATTTGTACATAGAACATCCACTAATGATTTTCTCATTTCTTTAGAATCAAATTTATTGTAGTCAAGTTTTAGAGAAGTTAAATTGGAGTTTATATTAAGGATTTCTATCGTCTCACTATCAACAATTCCATAAATGTCTAAATTTTTGAGTTTATTACATTTTCGAAGAAACGTTTTGATTATCGAAAATTTAACAGTATGAACTAATTCGTGAGAAACAATTGGATAATATGAGTTACGTGGAATTAATTCATATCGATATCGATAAAATGGATAATATAAGAGAGAACCGAGCCATTTATCGATACTAATCAATAAATTATAACCATCAATGGAGGTAATATAAGTAATATAATTAAATAATGGGATTGAAAATTTCGGAAGCTTTATGTTTAGTGGGATAAGTCGTTTTTGATCCTCAGGATTTAACGATAAAAAATATATCATTATAATTCTTTCATCATCGAAATAATTTAGCGGTTTGCTCCACAATACTGATGCTGCAATTCTGCACCATTTCCGATTTACAAGAAGGCATGAAAATAAGCTTTTATGATATTTCTTAAGGTCACTGAAGCAATTAAATATTTCATGAAGGCATTCATTCGGAAGTTGTTCAATCATTTTGAAAGGAAAGTTTATGTTGTGTTACGTACATGCGTACGTAGCATTATATCAATGTATGATCTGCATACTGCATAAATTGTGTACGTATTAATTTTAAATTGTGGTCAGATTTAATTATGAGGTTGTGTGATATTGCAAGTTCTATTTTTACTATTACGTACTAAAATCCTGTGGCTCTTGACCTCCTCGGTCTCTCCTGTACCTTCAATGTGGGCCAGGTTGATGTTGCAGATTATGGACCAGATTTAAAGTTCTAGTGAAATGTAAACAGTCGGAAATTTCAAACCAACGTTTGTTTTGTCGAAAATCGCTTATTTCTCGAAAATACACACCCAAAAAATTTTTTTGAGGGATTTACTAAATTTTTTAATTTTAAATATATTTCATCTTCGGAACACATTCAGGAATTGTGATCAAAACTTTAATTAAAATTAATCGGGTTAATATTTTCTAAAAATCCAGCTAGTATATTAAGCCCGGCCTTTTATTAAATGATGATATACTGTATATAGCAATTTACGAAACTTACGACCGATTATTGCCGTAAAATCGGATTAAAATGAAATTTAAATTTAACAGTTGCTTACTATAAATTCTACTCACATAATTCTAAGAAAAAGGCTAATAATGTACCCAAAATTTTGTATTTTCAGTGACTTGAATATTTACCAATTTTATTATTAACATTACTGTGTAATTATTTTTCAAATGCCACTCAAAAATTTTATTAATCATATGATGAGAATCTATGAATATGAAAAGTTTTTTTAAGTACATTGATAAGATTTTTATTATTAGCTATATAAAGATCCTTAATAGAAGATAGTACATGACACAATTCTGAATAGCTTAAATATGTCCATTAATAACAGCTTAAATTTATATGGATAAAATGACCTAAATAAAGGGTTTGGCTTTCGTGCTCACCCACTAAACTAATATGAGTTAAATAAGTAATGACAAATACTGATAAACTCAAATAATGACTAATAAATAAATAATTAATACTTATCCATTAAAAGAAATTCTAAATCAAGAAGCAGGTATTGCAGAATTCTATCTAAATATAATTCCAAACCCTAGCCCAAATATATATTTAATTTTTATAGTGCAATTTTCTATTTGTTTTCTAAACGCATGTCAAAAGTTCAGTTGCATTTAGAGTGTGCTGATTGCATATATTTGGATCAGGTTAGGAATTGCATTTAGAAAGGTCAAACTGTATTTGCTACTTTAATTCTTATTCAGTAAGAAGTTACGTATTTCTCCATTATAGATGCAGATTTATGACATCATCCAGTTACGTCCTTAATAAAAAATCAGTTTATAAAATAATACACAATTAAGCCGTAACTAGTGACGTAAATAAGTCTGAACCTATATTCTTAAGAATATATTGACATATAGTAATCACATCAAGTATATTACTTATACGTATACTAGAGATGTTAAATTGATCTGATCCAGAATTAGAATATTTCTATAATAGTAGCTTCAGATCTTGGTTTATAAATTAGTCTAGAGATTGGAATCGATGAGTTTCGAGCATTGATTGGTCACAAACTCTAGAGTTTCGAGCATCGGTACAAAATTTTGACCGGTGTTCGAATGTTCATTGAGTTTTTAGAATTACATAAAAGAATTTAGTACATGAAATTTATTAATTGTATTATTATCGTTATATTACTTAATAATTTGCAACATTAAAAACAACTTTGTATTATTATCGCTACTTAAAATTTACAAGACTTATAATTTGTGCATTATAAAATCAACATGCACTATTACTGCTATATTATTTAATATGCAATTTACATGACTTATAATTTGTGATATATATTATAAAACAACCATGCATTAATCCTAGACATCAGGAATAATAAAATCGATTTCCTTCATATTACGTTTTAGAAATACCATTCTGCCAAATAACTTTGGCTTTAATAATGTTCTTTTCACACTCATAACATTTCCTGCATCCGAAAATAAGCGCTCACTTGGTGTGCTTGTTGCAGGAATTGCAAGAAATTTTCAGGCCATTTCACTTAAAATTGAAAATTGCCATTTTTGTAAAGACCACCACACCATGGGATCTCCCTCGAAATCAAGCTCACGAAGAGCAAGGTAACTTGTAACTTCATTATTATTTTGGTTTTGTAAGCTTGGTGAAAAAACAGATTTGATGAATCCTTTACGGTAAGCTTGTTTTTTATTTTGATTAGTCATAGAAACTGATTTGGATATCAATGAAGTAACTTGTTTAGATAAACAGTGTCGTTCCTTAAATTCTGCATACACAACATGCAAAGTTTCTTCAACCTGATTTTGCTCATCAGTTGATAAAACATGTAACCTTTTGCATCTTGGGTCCAATTGACATGCAAGATATACATTTATATCAGGAGTTGGCCAATAGTGAAGTAAGACTTTATAAAGAGACAATTTTATGCGATCTAGTAATCCATTTGTATTTGTAGGTGTATTAATTTTGATTCGACGTTTTTTTGGCCCTACTGTAGTTTCCTCTTCATCATCTTCATATTCAAGATCATCATCAAATGCATTATTGTCTGAATTAAAATCCAAAGTTAAATCAAAGTCTTGAGTAATAGGACATAGCTTAATCTTAAGAGCAGTAATCAACAGATACATCATGCTAATTGTAACATATTCACTACCACTAAAATACTCTGTATATTCATTAAATGGACCAAGTAAATGAGTTAAATCATTCATTAAATTCCACTCGTCATTTGTAAGCATAATTTTCTTGAGACGATTATAATCTTGATGTACATTAGGTGAATTATTTTTGCTTAACATAATTAAAATAATATCAATATAATCTTTGACTAAGAGAAGTCATTCTCACGCTAAAAAGGATAAATTCCAATGAGTTAGAACATCACATTTTAAGCGAAGATATTCTTTAGTATCCCGAATTATCTATACAATTTAAAAAATAATTTAAAAAAAATTAAATTAAAAAATTAAATTAAAAAAAAATTAAATAAAAAAATTTTTAAAAAAATAAATAATATTACTTTTGTTTCTGAAATTCCCAAGCTTTTTTGTGCATTATCCAACCTTTCATTTTGTTTAGAACTCATAAAAAAATTTATCAATCGTTTTGCACGAGCTACAAACACTTCAGCTAGTAAAAGACCCTTGCCAATTACAAGTTGAAGTATATGTGCTATACAGGGCATTCTACTAACTCCTATTTGATTTATCGCTACTTTTACATTTGTCCCATTATCTGATGTAATCGTAAAAACTTTATCTGTCAATCCCTAATATTCAATTTGATTATAGATAGCATTATTTATATTAATTGCTGTATGCGGATATTTTAAATAAGTCAATGTAAAAAGAGCTTCATGTATTTTAAAATTTTCATCTATCCATGAGTATGTGATTCCTAGAAATCCTTGTTGATTTCTTGCTGTCCATAAATCCAACGTCAAACATACAGTTTTACTAGTTGTTTCTAATTGTTGTTTTAATAAGTTTGTTGAATTGTTATAAGTAATATGGATAAGGTGCTTTACAGTTTTTTCACATGGTATTGCAAATGCGGAATCCAGATTATGAACAAATTCATGAAATGATTCCTTTGATACAAGATTTAATAGTAAATTTTCACGGATGAGAAGTTTTAATAAAGATCGAACAAGGAAATTATTTTTTGCTTTTAGATGAGTTTTAGTAATATTAATTTGACTATCCTAATAAAAATGTATAAATCAAGGATTGTAAGATATAATATTTAAACAAATCACATTAATCTGCAAAATATTACTGTGATTCCATGTATTGAATAAAGATGATGAATAAGGTTTGAAGTTGATCCACCCACAACTTTAATTCTTTGAACACATCATGTATTATTATCTTTTATAATCTGGCATTTACCATATTGGGCCTCTTCGCCATCTTTATTAATTACTACGATCAAATCCATATGTTGCCAAACCCAGGATTGTTTTTTAGACCCACCACGTCTTTTAATTTCTGTTTTTTTAGAGCTATTAGTAACAACCTCCTCTATACTCGATTTTGGTTCTTCACAAGCCGAAATATCAATGTAATTAAATTCATCCTCTTCATTATTCAAAGAGAACTCTATGGGAGTATCAACAGAAGGTGCGATGTCCTTATTTAGTATTAAATCAAATTCTATTTTTAACAAGATGTTACGAATAAACAATAGTAGGTCTTTACTGCAAGTCAAACTCAGGTATGCAATAATCCACAGGTTTATGTTTTTTGTGTATTATAAATATTCAAGTGAAAAGACTAAAATTTTATTATTTATTTCGTTGCCTTTATATTACAAATTAATTACATCATTTACGTCATTAATTTTTCATTAACTCCCTCACTCTTTACTTATACTTTCTTATTGATAAATCAATCAATCAATTAATTATGCCGTTATACCATATTACCATCAATCATGCAATTCGATCACCTACGTACGTACGTTAGAGAGGGAAATTTCGTTCAGGCTCGGGTTGATCTAACCCAAATTGGTCAAAATATTCCAAATCGGCCAAAAAAAGGTAAATTGTTATTTTGTAATCAATCAAAAAATTCATTACTATTAAAAACATATAGTTAATTTTAATTTTGACTGATGCTCGATGATTGAATGAGTTTAAAACTCAATGAATGTAATTTATTTCGATGTTCGAAATTTTCGATCGATGTTCGAATAATTATTCACCGATTCCACCCTCTAAATTAGTCTGGATCAGATTATTAGATAGTTGACTGGAACGGAATGAAAGATCTATTCATTATATATTAAATTCAAGCAATGTCAGGCTTCCACCCATGTATTGACAATAAATTATGAATTTGTACACCCCAATAAGAATTTTAATTAATCAAAAGTTTAATCATTAACGATAAAGTAAACTATAATAATGACAAATAGACTATACAATTATTTATTTACCTGAACCAAAATGACTCTCGAAAAAAAGATTAGCTTCTATTACATTTGAAAAACAATTAAATTATCAAAATAACAAATCAATAAGAACAGTTAAAGTATTGAAAAACCAAATCAATAAAAAGACAAGATTGGCGCAAAATATTAACCCAAGTGATGAATGTAATATAAATGCTATTATAAAATTAATGTGTATTCTAATAACGATAACGATAAACATTGTTAAAATTTTTATTTGCAAATTTAAGAACTTACGTAATGAGCAAAATTCCAGACCTATGAAATAGGGTTCTATAAGCGCTGGGTGCATAAAACAATGCCTGTGTCTGGCACAATGTTTTAATAGTGCCAGTCCCTATGAAACATCCCCGTTACATATTTTAAGATAAAAATTTAAGCCACATAGTTCTTGTTGTAACCAGTTTAGGAACAAAGGATTTGCAGAACTATCCAAGACACACGGGTATCGGTATGGGCTAAAACTATTTAGGTAAAACATAAATAGATATGATATTTAAAAAGCACCGGTTTGTAGCAAGTAATCACAAGAAAATGCCGTTAAACCATACATACTGTACATTGTACTCCGTTCCTGGTATGTCGAGAGAACAATTTTACCTGTAACCCTTGTCTAAACCCTAATCTCTGAATAACCTTAATTTTAATTGCTTCGTTTTAAAAATCCTTCAAATAAGCAAATGAGGAAATTTGAAAAATGGATCCGTAAAATTGATCTTGCCTATTTAACATTATGTGACATAATAAACTGTTTAGTTCAAGCTAATTTCGGCTTAACGATATCAATTTTAACCCAGAACTGAATCAATATAGTTAGTTAACTTCCCAATTATTTATGTTATCGTTAGTATATGCTTAAAATTTTACAATGACTTTAATTAAGGATGGACTACTGCGCAGAATTTGAGTTAGTCATTTAAATGTAGATTAACGTTAACGTTAATAATTTTTTCAATATAATACTCGATATTGTATGTAATTTTTATTATTAGGTCGGAAGTGTCGGCGACACGTCACCACGATATTTTTATGGACTACTAACCTACCTTGATATTAATGAGGGTCAGGATTAAGACAAAATTTTAAAGTTTTGTAATAAAAATTTTATTAATATATTTGCTAGTACGTAGAATAGATTATTCATACTTGATCAATCAAAACTGGACAGATTACAACAAAATAACTGTTCTTTATAGAGTAAATTTTATTCGTGGATTGATTAAATATTTTGTATAAAAGATATAGAAAAATAAGATTTTGACGGTGCTACTAGGAACGTTGCATTTTTCAGGGTGGTTAGCAAAATTTCACTCACATACGAGTAATATACCAATCAAAAACTATCACCATAAAAACCCGGATATAAAACTTTGAAAGAATTTTAGGATCTCTTGAGTATAAGTGTCGCCACTAATAAAACGTATTATTAATCAATTGATTTAGATTTGTACGCCCATACTGCAAGAGATCTGAATTTTAGAATCAGTGAATGAGAATAAATAAGAATCCAATCAAAGAAACCCCCAAATGTTATTATTTGGATTTTTTGTTCCAATATTTCCAACCTTAAAGAATTATAAACTGTCCTGGAAAAAGAAATTATTTTATGTAACAAAATGTATTAATGCTAAATTATCCAACATTTCATATGATCACGTAAATTTTTTTGCCGTGACATTTTTTGCATGAAATTACGTAATCAGCTTTGCAAAATTTCACGGAAAAAACTTCACATGGTCATATTAACTATCAGATAACATCAATATTGGGCATACATACGATAATAGCAGGATATTTTTGTCGTCTTGTATACATAACCGCCAAGGGGAACCTGACTTCGGGCTTATTGCCTGGAATCAGCCCCTGCAAAATCTGATCGGTAATTTTGTGATATGTAGCTACACCGAAAATGAGTGTCGCTAAAAGAAACCAGCATATCTAAAATAGAATTATTTATAAAATGTAATAAATATATTTTTAGACACGTTGATTTTCTTTAGCGACACCCATTTACTAAATTTCATTTTAATTTAATAATAAATATTGCATGATCTTTTTTATTTTTTTATAAATACGATATCAAAGTAAACAGAGCGCTAGGATCAAGATCAATAAGATCGATTTAAATTTTATGATACTTTCAAATTCCTTTTTTAACTGGTTTTTCGCTACAAATGATAACGATTCTAACCAAAAAAGAGTAATTTCTTGATTCACAAATACGAAAGAGTTAAACCTGTAGTACAAAATTGAAAGAGTCTTGGGAAGGAGTTAATAAAAACACGTAACTTAGTGTAATCACATGATTATTTCAACTTGATTTAAGCGAAAGCTACGGACACAACATTCACATGATATATTTAGCCAGTGTTGTGCATATAGCTTTTTTACTCATAGCAACTGTAACTATGCAATGCAACCCTTGTTATCGTTATAGATCTTATTCATTTTATTGCAATAAAAGGGAAGAAACCAATCAAAATTAATCAACGGGAATGTGTTATGAAAATCACTCGATTAATATTTTGTGTACGAACGCCAAACTCGATTTTAACCATCCACTACGTTCCTGGTATCGTTCTCCTATTAAAAGATCGAATCAATTTGTATAAGTTATTAAATTGATCTTTGCAGTTGAATCAAAAGAGCGAGTTAAACTGCATTTGCAGTATATGACACCATAAACTGTATTATTAATCAATTGACTTAAAATAGGTGTTAAAATTTTTTAACAATAGAAATGATTAACATGTATATATAACGGATATCTAATGATATATAAACCAAAAAATTATACTAATCTGCTACAAATTTCTAAGTTAAAAATCAATTTACTAAATCTTCAGGTGAGTAATTCAAGTATACAATAATATCATCTGAAATAGTGTTGAAAGGTATTACGGTATTATGTGCATTATATTAGTATGCATAATCATTTTAATAGCATATGCATTACGTATATTAGTATGCACTATAACAGAACGCAGCGCGCATGTACAAAAATTAATTATATGTATTTAATTATTATATCGCATGGCACATATGATACGTAAGCAACTAGGAAATTATAAATTGCTAATCTATTTGTATTTTTCTTTTGCATTCTACTACTATTTCTTTCTGAAAAAAAAAAATTCATCAAAAATGTTGTCAAAATTTTATTTAACCTTTATTACCGTTTTAGGGTTTATTACAATAATTATCGGCCCTGCTATCACCATGCCCGCTAAGCATTTGAATAAACGAGGTATAATTTCATGATAAAACTTTCACCAATATACTATTAATTAAATTATTAATAATTTTTAAATAAAACTTCTCTAATCGATTATATATAACTATTTTTAGATGGTATGTATAAAATTAATTTACAGATTGAATCTTTATAAATGAATAAATCTTCTCTAATCGTTTATATAAATTAAACTATTAGTCGGTAAGTGTAAAATCTATTTATAAATTTTTGAACTTTATAATTGAGTAAAAACTTCTCTAATCGATTATATATAACTATTTTTAGATGGTATGTATAAAATTAATTTACAGATTGAATCTTTATA